AGCGATGGCCCCCAACCTAAGAGCGATGGCCTCCAACCTACCTAAGAGCGATCGCCTCTAACCTGCAAGCGATGGCCTCCAACCTAGGAGCTATGGCCTCCAATATACTTTAGGGAGCCGTCCAAGGAAACCCCTTGAGCCGCAGCAACAGATCTGCAACCTTGAACTATTGTAAGGATAGAGGTCTCTACGCTGCTGCTGCACCGCGCCAAAGGGTCAATTGTGGCCTCAACGCACAGCAGCCGAATGAGAAGCATCCAGCCTTTAAAGGGTCAATTCAAGGGTGACTATGAAAGCAGCGTCGTAACTTTGACGAGCGAGTGGGATTACAGTTGGTAGCTTGTCCCATTGCTCATCAGCACTGAAAGTGGACAACTGTGGTGTGCCAAGCAGCACTGGTTATCCTGCCACGATAAGAAACCGAATCGAAGCACGCTTTGCTACAAAACCTTAATCGAAACCTGCGAGCGATCACACCAAGGCAGGATTCTACAGATCATACGTTTTACCAATTCGTGCACCTTCTTGCAGCAGGAACACACTTGCGCAGCAACAAGTCGCCTTGTGGCAAAGTGTGTTACGTAAGAGGAGCATCTCTGATTTCTATTCTAGCACCACCAATCCCTCTTAGTCTGGCTGCTTGGCCCTTGGTTGGGCATGGCTAAGCGTGGCACAATTGAAAGTGGAGCAGCATGTAGGATTATGCGTGTTGCGCGGCTTTCCGCGTCAGGTTTGTAAGGCCCAAATAATACTACAGCGCTTGGCTTTTTCAACATGCAGTTGAATGTTGCACGTGAGAGTGAGAGGGCAAGTGGTCTTTGCCAGGGTCTGCTTGAGCGGTTCTGTGGGGTACTGTTCCCAGAATGCTTGGGTCGGGCTCTTACGGACTGCTCGAGGAAAAGATAGTAGCGATGGCAGGAGCCCCTAGTAGCTTCTTGTTACTACTAGTAAGGCACTTGTTACTAGTAGCGATGCACTTGTTCCTAGTAGCTTCTTGCTCCTACTAGAAAGGCTCCTAGTAGCGTCCTTGCTCCTCGTAGCGATGCCCTTTGCTCCTAGTAGCTTACAGTGACGGTATTGCGCGAGTGACGGTATCGCTGTGTCGGACTGAGATCCGAAATGCAACCTTGCGAGACAATGCCGTTGGCCTAAACTGACAGTGTTTGCGATTGGAAGTTACGTTTTCTCAAATCAATTGGAAGTGGAAGGTCCTAAGGTCCTAGGTTCTGAAACTAGCTGTCAAAGTCAAAGCTGCCAAGATCACGAGCTCTTCAGCAATTGGGCCTGATTCTCGATATGAGGCCGGCTGTTGGGGAAGAAGTTGTGGGAGCATTGATGTTCTTCCATGTGACTATTGTGACTGCAAGATTCCATGAGTTTGCGAGTGTGAACGTGCGAAGACGTAGCTTCGGGCACTTAAGGGGGAGAGAGAGAGAGGGGGCTTGGGTCTCATGCTGTCGTGGGCGCAGTAGAAGATGATTTTCATTACTATCTACGATACTTGTAAGAATTTATTAAAAAGCTTTTTGTTACTACTAGTAGCTTTTTGTTATGCCAGGAGCCCCTAGTAGCTTCTTGTTACTACTAGTAAGGCACTTGTTACTTTTAGCGTGGCACTTGTTCCTAGTAGAATTCTAATTGATTTTCATTGATTTCGGTTTGGGTTTTGTTGCTTTGATGACATCAGCAGTTTCACCGGAACTGGTAGACCATGGTGCAACTTGTCGCGGCGTCAAAGTGTGGTGTGTTTGTCACTTTCCCTTTGTCGATTCATCCCCCGAGTTTTCCCATGCGATCGACAGCCTCTCAAAACGCCACAGCTTTGACCTTTACAACACGTGTTTTAAGACATATGCTTGGCAACATATGCTGCATATGGGTGCTTCGACATGCAAAAAGATCATGCTACTGTATCGACCCCATCATGTGAAACTTGTGACTGAACGGGGCGTACTTGGCGAGCATGGTGGGTTGTCAAGCGTCTCTGGCCAAACCATGGTGCACAGCTTCCCACAGACATCCGCCGCTATCCAAATCATTGAGTTTAGTAGCGTCCTTGCTCCTAGTAGCGATGCCAGGAGCCCCTAGTAGCGTCCTTGCTCGTATTATGAGGAATACACAAGACGGATGATTCTTCAGGCGCAGAAACTCTCCGGACTGAGTCCACATTTTGCTCATTTATGATGGCTTTTGCTTAAGTATGTCAGAAGTTGCGAGGTTATGGCAGACCTGGGTTTCAGGCGCACCTAACATAATCCTCTACTAGCTTGCTGGCATGATCCTTTCAAGGCTAGGATGACTTTTGGGCATCCGGCAAAGCCATGCAAAGCCGGGTATCAAGGAACATGCAGATGCCATGCATGAAAGGTCCGCCAGCTTTCATTTCTGTTGCCTCTTGGTCTCTCCTCCTCCCTACGGCATTTTTTAAATATGTATCCGATTTTATCCACCCTCTTCTTCCGGCTTGTTCCATCACTTTCTTTGAGGGTTCCAAAAAGAGAAGATATTAATTAATGATGAGACGACAAGGGTTTATGAAGATGCCTTTTTGAAAAAACAAGGCCATCGTTTTTGCAGTCAGACTGCTTGTCCACGAACATCTGTGTTAGTTTTGGTGTTAGTCTTGAAGGAGTCGAGTCTTTATTGCATTGTGAGATGTTTCCATTTAAGACGCAGTCGGGTTGAAGTGTCCAAACAAATGAGCAGGTGCTTTATTCTTGTTCGGATTCATTTATTTTCTTGACAATTGTATGTATGGAAACAATAATTGATGTTGATAGTGCATGTCGACCCAAATTGCATATTTTGCATCACCTCCTTTAGTTGATCCAGCCGTAGTATGCCGCACCAGCTTTTTTGCAGCTATGTGCGCCGCAAACAAGATATTTACAAGGCCACAAAACATTGTAAATTACAGGAGCAAGAATGATACTAGGGGCTCCTGGCCTTACTACTAGGAACAAGGACGCTACCAGGAGCAAAGGGCATTACTACTAGGAGCAAGAACGCTACTAGGGGCTCAGTTGTTTGGAGATTGGTTGGCAGCCACGGGCACGCTTAACTGCTGGGCTGAAACCCCAGCCCCTCCAGAGGACATGGGTGCGGGGATTTCCTGCTTTGGGACTGTAGACATGTCTTTTTGCCTTCCTTGCTCTCTTCCATCTTTCTGTTTCATTCCATGGGGCAAGAGCTTCAGAAAAGAAAACGTGGAGTAGATTAGTTTTTCATTCACACGCCGTTTTAAAGCGCTGTCAGCGTCTAAGCCTTTGAGTTTGCGCGTTTCTTTTGTGCCACTTGAGAGTTCTTTCGGGTTGCCAGCGTGGGCGTGACCTGAAATGCTTGGGTTTTGTTTTTTCTGCAAGAGTCCTTTCCTTAAGACGTCTTTCTACAAGACTTTTCTGCAAATGTATATGAAGTCAAACAAGTTTTGGGCTTGCATCCTCGTAGGCAGTCTTGGATGCGTGTGCCTTACGCGCGGACTTGGATGCGCTGATCCTCAGGGCGCAGCAAATCCACAGAAATGCAGGAGCAGGCTACAGGAGTTGCTAATTTATGAGGTAAATCAACTAGATGTGTGCCAGAGGGTGTGCGAACAGCTGTGAGGTCTTGCCTGAGGGCGATCAGACTTCGATTGGCGACCGTGGCATCAATCTGTCAGGTGCTCTGCGTTGGAATGGAGGTAGCATACAGCTACTAGTAGCTTCTTGTTCCTAGTAGTAAGGCCAGGAGCCCCTAGTAGCGTCCTTGCTCCTAGTAGTGATGCCCTTTGTTCCTAGTAGCTTCTTGTTCCTAGTAGTAATGGCTAGCGATGACCTCCACCTAGTAGCGTCTTTGTTCCTAGTAGCAAATAGCGGGTAGTTTTGGCCCGCTTGAAAGGCTCTTCAAAAGGGGTGTTTCTCTTTTTGCCCGAAAGCCTTCCTTAGTCTTAGCTGGGTGTTGACAGCGGGATCGACGACATCTCTGATACCCGGCCATTGGAGGCGGGCAGAAGCAACGCGTGGCTTTGGCGCGTGCTGTTTATGCCAACCCGGACCGCAGATGCGTTCGATGGCCTCCAACCAAATTGCAAATGCGTTCCATGTAAGGTTTCAAAAAGAGCAGAGTGACACGAGTGGGGCCACGGTCAACAAGTTATTGATCCTTTGACAGACGTGCAACAGAAGGGGGAGAAACCCAAGAATCCTGCTGTTGCCTGTTCAGTCGAGGACATCTACATTTTGGACGTCGTGACCTGAGTGTTGTTCTACTGTATGGAGGCCATTGCTCTTAGTAAGAATTCCTTAGTAAGAGTATGGTCTGTCGTCGGACTAAGGATGTGCTGTCCGCTCTAGACAGTTGCTCACCAAGATTGATAAGTTCCTGAGACCGGCTATAAGTCCTGAGGGTGACTTGCAAATCAGTCTTGGCGATGCACTTTGCTCCGTTCGTAGCGAACCTTGTTCCTAGTAGTACGGCCAGGAGCCCCTAGTAGCGTCCTTGCTCCTAGTAGCGATGCCCTTTGCTCCTAGTAGTGCACTTGTTACTACTGTAGTAGCGATGCCGTGAGCGATCAGGTCATGTCACAACCCACATTTGCAACAATCTTCTTCGTGGACCGCTGCTGGCGAAGGTCTCAGATCGCGTGACCAGTGCAGGCGTTGACTTCCGCTGCGCTGCAGGGGGAGCTGCCTTGAAGGTGGTTGAAACCCGATTTGGACGTGATTTGAGTTTTTTCTTCGCCGTCACGCCCACTTCACCTCGCTGCTATGGAAATCGACGTTTAGCGTCGAACCTTTGCTTGACCCTCTCCGACTCTTCATGCAGACGCGGCTCAGTAGATTGAAATTGGTCACACCATCTTCAAGAAATTGCGAGGTCTGGAAATAGGATGCTGTTTTTGCCTTCCCAATGTCTGCCTAAGTCTTGGGATTGTCACTTGGCTTCGCATTGTCCAAATCCGTCTCAAGATTGGCTGAATCCCTGTCCGTTCATCATTGAAACGCTAGAGAGGTTCAAAAATGGATTCCGGTCTTTTGGTGGTGCAGCATGTTAAACAAAGAGAGGGGAGCGCTGTGAGCGGCGCTTTTTTCGATGAACATGAGCATTTTTCAACTTTTTTCATGCGTTTTCTTGAGAATGATTGATGTGTCTGACATTGCCTGGAAGGATCTGTCTGTTAGCATTTGTCATCCATCAAGGATTCAGGAAATGCCATTTGTAGCATTCGTCTGCTGTAGTAAACTCCGCCATGCAGTCTGAAGATATGACGTATAATGATTTGCATGAGGTTGTCAATGGCTCATTTGCAGGAGCATCGCTCCCATGTCGCTCCCTCTTCAGCCATGCGGCTCCTTCAACATCCTCACCTTCCCTATGAAGGAACTGAACGGAGGGGAAACAAACCTGGTCCATGCCTTTGACCTCATCCAGAACTTTCAGGGCGACATCAACTTTTCTGACCTCAGCACTAGCTACAAACTGGCATGCGAAAGCAAGGATTTGCAGTATCTTCCCGCCCCTTTTGGTCTGAAGGTTGAAGTCCCCAAGGAAACGACCATCCAAGTCGCCATCATCAAAAACTCCGAGGGTGAAGCCACTATCTTGAAGCATTTGGCCTTTCCGGGAAAAATCAAGGCAACCTTCTTCAAACAGCTCATCTACGGTGAGGGCTTTCAATCTATGTGGATGCAGCCTTTCCCCAAAGGTGGCAGGAAAATCTTGCAGTACTGCCTGGAGAACTTGGGTGGGCGTATCTTCAAGTTGAGCTCACTTCCCAGGCAAGTCGCAAAGGCCCAAAGCCCGACAGCAGCTTTGAGGAGAAGGACGATGATGACATCGATGCGGGCTTTGATCATATTCTCAAGATGGTCCCTCGCTCATCTTGTGAAATGGCCCAGCTCCGTTGGCAGACTAACGAACTTCGCAACAAATCGTCTCCAATCGTTGGCTGGCCTGTAGCGTTGGTTAGTCAAGCTCTTCGGAACTTGGCTGCCGACGGAGCTTTAGCCCGCAAAGAGCATCATTGGCAATTACCACTCACGCCAAATACTTCCGCGCGGAAGTTTTGAAGGCTTTGGAAGCCATTTGGGACTTTGACCAAGCTTCCTTGGTCATGCTCGGAGAGCCCGGTGGAGGGAAAAACCCATTAGGCAGAAGTGTCCTGTTCGCACAGTGCCGCCACAACCTGGAGAGGTTCCAGGTCCAGGGGCAGCTTTGCATTCGCTGCACTCCGGAATTTGATTTTCTTCGCGGCGAACCAGGATCTGTACTTATGGGGGATTTCCTGGACGACACCGCCCTGAACCTTCTGAGCATGAAACTTGTCAAACACAGAAAAAGTATCTTGCACCTGTCAGCAAGTCATGCAGTTTCAAAAACGCATTCACCTGCATGTGTTTGCGTCGCAGTGCAAGGCTTGAACAATTTCACTTCCAAGGAAATTGAAAAACTTAAAATATCCCAGGACAGCACACAAATCCAAAATTCCAATTTTATAAAATTCCAATATTCCAAAAAACAAAAATAAAGTTCTGCACAGACCATGGGGGGAAGAGGGGGTGAGGCAAAGTCCTGGCACAGTTGTTTTTTTGGGCTAATCTTTTAACAATTAAAATGTTGGAACATTGGAATTTTGGAAATTGCCTTTGGGGGAGGGGGGGGTTGAGGCAGAATAGGATTCTTTCAGTGGCACAAAAATGAATAGAAGCACAATACACATATAGAAACAAAATGCAAACAAAATGAAACAATGCAAAAACGCGCCGCTCAGAGCGCTCCTTTCTGTAAACAAATCATTGCTTTTACCAACGCAAACCAATCTGAACAAAAAGTGATCCGGATTCCAATCCTACGGATTTTCTAAATGCACCTGGGACACCTCCCTGTGCCAACAAATTGAAAGGTCTTCATCCATTTCAACCCGAAGTTGTCTTTTGTAGTTCTAATCGCAGCTTAGCCCGAGCAGTTCATGTCGATCCTAAAGGTTCCAAGTGCTTTTGGGGGACCACGGAAACTCGGAGCGTGGTTTTGCTTAGGTAGATCAATATGATTGCATTTCCACTGACCTAGTAGCTTCTGGTGTCGCGAAAACAGAGCGCGGAGTGTGAAGATGTGTGATGTGTGCCTGGAAACCCTCCTTTTGTGGCTGTGCGTGTGAAGTGGCATGTGAGTTTTTGAGGCTGGGAAAACTGTGGTCCTCGTCACGTGCAAAGCCTAGCAGTTCAAAGGTCTGATTGCGTAGTAGCCAAGCCGAAAAGCGGCTGTGTAGCTTTTTGCTAGTAGGTTGAAGGCCATCGCTAGTAGGCTGGAGGCTATCGCCGATCGCTATTAGATTCCTTTTGCTCCTAGCTTGGAGGCTACCAGGCTATGTGTCTTTAAGTACTTTCGCATTTCGGCAAGGCACTCGCCCAAAGCAGTGCCGTTGGCCACGCGGGTGATGTGCTTGGAAGACAAGAAGGTGTGATGGTCACGGGTGAAACAGTAAAGGGGCACGTGAAGCAATCATATGTATTCATTTGTCACATGTTTTGTTTCATCTGAGAAAGTTCTTTTAGAGCCTTCGCTGCAAGACACGTTCAGCATCGGAATGCCTTTCCAATTTCATTATGTTTGTAGTTTTCTTTGTGTTTGCTTGTGTTTTCCACTTTTTCCATCATTTTCATCACTTTGGGTTGCAGGTGACCTTCAACGGGACTTACGAGGACAAAGCTTTGGAACGCTTTTTCCACCAACCCAATGAAGGGTCTATTGTACTCCTCTGGGTGACTTGTAGTCACTCCATTAAGGAAATGGTATATGATTGGTATGATTTAGCTTGTATTGTAGTAGCGTCCTCTTGCTCCTAGTAGTAAGGCCAGGAGCCCCTAGTAGCGTCCTTGCTCCTAGTAGCGATGCCCTTTGCTCCTAGTAGCGTTCTTGCTCCAGATGTGAAAGCTGAATTGACTTTGTGTCTTTGATATTCAGGAGTTCAAAGGCTCTGGAGCAGTGAGCGACGATGCGTCTCGTCTAGTGATTGTGAATTGCACCAGACCGACGCGACCGACGCGGCTCGAATACACGTGGGCCTAGGTGATCCATGACGAGCCAGAGAGTGAAGAAGCTCTGAAGGCTGTCAGTGTGCCAGTTGGGCTTTGGTGCTTTGGTGCTGGCTTCCCCACTGAGGAACGACAAGTGTCTGAAAAAGGAAAGGAGGAAAAGAAGGAGGAGAAGGGAAAAGAGAAAGGTTCTGCAACATCACCAAAGAAGGAACCGGCCTCAGTTGAAGATCGAGCGGTTGATATTAATTCTTTAGCAGCTTCTAGGAGCAAGGACGCTACTAGTAGCTCCTGGCCTTACTACTAGGAGCAAGGACGCTACTAGGAACAAAGGGCATCGCTACTAGGAGCAAAGGACAACACCAATTTCTTGAGTTACATGTCGTAGCCCATATGAGTTTGATGCTTCATGCTACTCGACTTATGTGACAACTTTGAAGTTTCTAGAATGCTTGTTCACACTCCCCGTGCCTTTTTGAAAGGTACTTTGCAAAAGGTGAAGCACATATAACAAGAAGCGGCTACTAGGGGATCCTGGCCTTACTACTAGGGGCAAAGACGCTACTAGGGGCTCCTGGCCGTACTACTAGGAACAAGAAGCTACTAGTAGCTAGTAGCTATTAGGGCAGACCTCACAGAAAGCGAGCCTACAGCACCTTCCGGTACACTCGTACACAATGACCTTTATTGGCTTTTCCAACCTACTAGCGATGGCCTCCACCCTAATGGTACACGCGTACATGACTCGTACACGATGGCCTACAAATGTACTTGCTGTGCTAGTCTGGAATGAACTGCTCTGTGGTGTGTTTGCCAGTTCCACGCAGCACAAACGCATGCAGTGCACACACACACACGTATATTACACATGTTGCAGTTAGTCAAAGCACTCTAAACTGATAAGGAAGAAGAGACGAAGATAGCATCAAACGGGACATATATAGAGTTTAAACAACCTTGCTGGCTTTTGGATGTCTAGGTTTTGAGTTGGGGACAATCGTTTTTCGCTCTCCAGGCGTCTGCAGCACCGCAAGAGGAGCGCCGCTCAGGAGCTGTCAGTTGGCAAGTCTATGGCGCGCCGGGTCCTCAACTAGATGGAGCCCCTAGGCCCTAGTAGCGTCCTTGCTACTAGTAGCGATGCCAGGAGCCCCTAGTAGCGTCCTTGCTACTAGATGGAGCGGACTGTTTGTCTCAAGGCCTTAGAACCCTTTTGTTTCTTTACCCGGGAGCGTTTGCGAAAGGGTTCTTCCATGGAAAGGGTTGCGGTTGCCATCGTAGTCGTAGTATGTCGTAGTCGTTTTTTGAATTCGCGAATCTGTCTCAACCAATTTGGGGCCAAAACCAAAACAGTCGTGCGATGTCTCACGCTTAACCGTGGTAGCTTGGAAGAGGCAGAGTCAAACCGTGCAGTTTCCTCCCAGTACCTGAAAGGTTTCAAGGTCAAAAGAGATTGTCCTTGCTCCTAGTACCGATGCCCTTTGCTCCTAGTAGCAAGAATGCTCCTAGTAGTAAGGCCAGGAGCCCCTAGTAGCGTTCTTGCTCCTCATTCCTCAGACATGTTTGCCATGTTTGAGGTATGCCAAAGCTTGTGGAGGATGTCCAACTGTCGGCACTTTTCTTCTTGCGGTCGCAATTTCAGAGGTGGCGGGGGAACACAACTGGATTTGAAACGTAATGATTCCTGAAAGTGTTATTTTTTCATTTTTATTGTTATGCTCCTGATTTCTTTCTTTGAGATGTGAACGGAGACGTTCCAAGACCGGGTGTATCAAACAGTGGTGCCCACTTTCTCTTGTTTTTGCAATGATATTGACAAAACCATGGTTGCAAGAAGCTACTAGGAGCATCGTTTCACTGGGAATCGTTTCACCTGTAGTAACAAGAAGCTACTAGGAACGATCTTTGAAGCTACTAGGAGCAAGAACGCTACTAGGATCAGAAGGCGGCATTCGCTTTTGTTCCTCTCGCGTTACCGCTGTTTCCAGGGCTCGAGGAACTTCTCCGATGGCTGGTTGGCGCATTGGAGTGGTACTGGAGGCAGTGCGGATGGAATCACGGTCTATGCGTTGGCCGCTTTGGTTTGCCTCGCTTGGGCCTCAACTCTTTGCTCTAATAAGGCCAGGAGGCCCTAGTAGCGTCCTTGCTCAGGTAGCGAACCTTGTTCCTAGTAACGTAACGATGTTTGTGTTCTTTCTCTGCATTTGCTTTGCGTTTCTTCTTGCTTTAGGTTTCAACTTTGCCCTTCGCAAACTTTCAGGTTACAGGCCTTCTTTACTCGACCACCCGGGTTTTGGTGGGCCAGCGCGGGTGACAGACTCGGACTGGCTGAAGATTGTCACCAAACTGTTTGTCAGCGACCCTAACATCTGAACGATGAAAAAGATGTGAACAATACCTTCCCGGTTCAATGAACCTAGCCCGCAGGGCTTCAAAACAAGAAAAAAGAAACCGCGGGGCTTGTATAGATTAACGTGGATTCATTCTACGTCATCCATTCATATTCGCTTCGAGGGAGGTCTGCTGAAGTTTTCATTTGCAGGGAGAGGCCCAGAAGTGATAGTTCCAAAGGATTGAATGTATAAAGTATATATATATATATATAGATATACTGCATATTAAATTTGCATTGTTTCGTTTATTTTGGCCCGCTCCTACTGAATTAAGAAGGCGCCTAATCAAATAGGCAGAAGTTTGCCACTAGCTACTTAACCTACTAGATAGCTCACGCCTCTTCAAGGAAGCTCCCCCCGCCTGAGGGCAGGGGAGAGCTTCCTTGAAGAAGCGCTCGGACTAATCATTTGGTTCCTAGATTTGTAGGGAAACTGAACCAGGAGCCCCTAGTAGCGTCCTTGTTACTACCAGTAATGCACTTGTTACTAGAAGCGATGCACCTGTTCCTAGTAGCTTCTTGTTACTACTAACTACAAAAGGCCTCACCCTTTGCGTGATAGAATCCGTTCGACCCCTTTACGAGTTGGTTTCATACTGATTTAGCAGGGGGTTCCCTCGGTTAGGACATGCTACGACACGCACACGGTCACACGGGCTTAACGAAGCGAAGGCCGAAGGCTGCTCCAGATTAGTATTGCCTTGCATATCCACGCTTGCGTCTTGTTGATGGTTTCTAGAACTTAGGGCTGTTCTCTCGCTTGCTTTCCCACTTCTTACAGTGTTTTGCAATTTGAGGTCCAGAGTCTTGCATGAAAAATGTCTGCACGCTTTGCTACGAGCTCATATGCGCGGGGCCACAGCGGCTGCAGCTAGTCGTTCTGCATTGATTTGCATGTGTGAAGTGTCCTTGTTTGAGCAGAATTTGATTTTGGATTTCTAACCCTTCTGCTTTGACAGGTCTTTCTTTGACCTGACCCCAAATGGTCAGATTCTGAACCGCTTAGCTGAGGATGCTTGCTTTGAGCATCTTGCATTCCTGTCAGCATTTGTGTGTGTACCCTTCCTCTGTACGCTCAGCGCCAGCGAGAGCAGTGCATCGCATTGGCAGGACACCAATATTCTGGACTACAACTTGCCCCAAACGATGTCTGCAAACATCATTTGGTCCTTCTCGCTTGTGCGATTAACCCAAGCAAGTCCAGGCCATCGCTAGTAGGTTGGAGGCCATCTCTATTAGGTATTGCTTCTAGGTTGGAGGCCATTGCTTGAGACCTTTCGACTTTATCGTGGCCAGGTTCTGGCGTGCTGCCAGCATCGTTGTGGTGTGCATGGTGGTTGGTTGGTGCCCCTTGATATGGACAGGACAGGGCAAACAGGACAAAACAGGATTGCTAGCCGGCGACTTGGAATGCTACAGAAATCGTGGAAATTTCTCAAATCCTTAGGAACCCTAGGCCTAGTGACAGAGAACCGTTTCGAAAAGGGGAAAACAAGGAAAACTCCTTCCTTGCTACGACGCATTTCCTATGACAGTTGCCAATAGCGATAGCTTCCAACCTAATAGCGAAGGCCTCCAGCCTAGAAGCGATGACCTCCAACCTAATAGACTGGAAGCATTAAGATCATTTAACTACTAACTAGCTCCCTCCTAACCCCTCCTGCTCAACGGTCTAGCGCCCCTTTACAGAGGACAAGGGACAACGCAAAGCCGCAGTGTGGATGGAGGTATTTGATCTTCTTGATGCTGCCAATGTTCCTCTTGTATGCTCGTTTGGCCAAGAGGCGGGCCCCTTCAGACAAAGGCTTTTGGAACTACCTGGGACGAGTTTTCGAGCACTTCTCTTGTTCACTCCAGTTCTGTTTTCTTCTCGAATGCGGCGTTTTCGTTTTTATCCTTCTGAAAACTGAACTGTTTCGTTTTTCTCTTTCTCTTGTTCGCGACATCTATATTCGTTGCACTTTCGCTGAAGAGAACCTCTCTGGTGACCTTTGTGAGCTCTTGAAGGTATCTACCAGCCACACGCGACTTGCGACGGCTGGATGCAGCTGGTGACCAAGTCTTCACTTGGCACCTGATAGCTACTAGCCACTAGTCGCTTCTTGTAATTAGTAGTACGGCCAGGAGCCCCTAGTAGCGTCCTTGCTCCTAGTAGTAAGGCCAGGAGCCCCTAGTAGCTTCCCTAGTAGCTGCTTTGTTTGGAATTCATAGCGCCGTTTGGACCATCTTCAGGCTGCTCGGAGTCCCATCTTCAGCCACTTCTCGGAGTCCATGCAAGGCGTGTCAACGATCCGAGCTATGCAGCAGCAGGAGCCGATGCGAAGCGCGAAGCGTTGCAGAGCTGTGATGCTTTGGTGTTGGGTCTGTTCTATTACCTGTAACAGTCAGTAAACAATTATCACTATTTTTGAGCAAGGCTTTTACTAACCATCATCCACTGTTACAGGTATTAGGATAGACCCAACTTTGTGTTTAGAGGGGGCCGGTAAGAGGAGGTAGCAGAGTAAGTAGTTAGCTAAAGTAGGTAACTTAATAGCAATGCCCTCCTAATAGCAATGGCCTCCAACCTAATAGCGACGGCCTCCAACCTACTAGCAATGGCCTAAGTGGCGGGTAGTTTCCTTGGGAGAACCCCTCGGATGATTGGTTTTGTTTCTAGATTTCTTTTTTGAAACTTCAGCATTGAGTAGACACTATGCTACACACAATGGCCTTTTGCATGCCTTCTTGAAGGATCAAGCTCTCCATACAAACATCAGCAGGCGTCCCGTTTTTATTTTGGAGGCCATCGCTAGTAGGTTGGAGGCCATTCCTATTACTGTAAGTCATTAAGTTGGAGGCCATTCCTATTAAGTTGGAGGCCATTGCTGTTTAAAGTTGTTTTGTTCGAATTTGCATTTGCACAAGACATTATGCGAAGCTGCTTGAAGGCTGGAGACGCAGATGGAAGCTTACTACCTCAGCAATACGGCTGTTGCTTGGTGCTTTTTCCTTTTTCTTTTTTGGGCAGTAGATAAAAAAAATTAAAGAAATAAAGCAAGAACATATCAAAAGGACAACAACATACAAAAAGAGTCAAATTTGTCTTGTACATACATATATATATATATATAGATACATTACGTGACATGACATTACATTATATCACATTACATTACATCACATTACATTACATAACGTACATACATACTCTCAACAGATTTGTAGCGCCTTCAACAGACAGTCCACAGTCCTCAAATCTGTATTGATGACCTCGCCAACGAAAGCTATCCAAGGACGAAATCCGGTATGATAGTTGATGCCCACACCAATCCCTGCGGACAAGACTCTACCCCCAGATTCCCAAAGTTAAACGAGAACCCTTCGCTATGTATGCAAAAGCTATTTTAGAAACACGGCAACCTTGCCCTGAGCCCAGAAGCTACAACTCATCAGCAATGACCGGCGCTTTGCGAAGGGTATGTCCACTGCTTGCTTAAATACATTTTCTTGTTTACTTTGGAAAAGCATTCTCTTTGCTCTCTTTGCTGGTCAATATTCGCTTGGTTTGCGTGTTTTTGCATGAGCTATGCGCTTCCAACATCATTCAAGCGCCGCCCAACACGAAAATGCCAAAAGACATGTACTGTAAAACAGGAAACATCCCAGCACTCACTGGTCCACAAAAACATGGAAATCACGTTTCCGGAAGATGACTGTGGACATCTGAGGCTCGCTGGCTAAGTCTCCGGCTGCAATTCAATGGCACCATCTTAGTGTGCTCCTGAAGAACTGAAGCGATGGCCTCCAACCTTAAAGGAATGGCTTCCAACCTTTAATTGTTAAAGAGGCCAAAGTGATCCGGAAACAAAGAACAAGTATTGAACCAAGATCCACGGGTGAACCACTGGTTGCCATGATTGCAATTTCTTAAGGTGGGCGCAGTCAGCATCCTTGGCATTTTCTTGTCAACCGGCCCAAACAAGGCATGGTGCTCGACCGAGTTTGCTTGATTGTTTCAACATAATTTTAAAGCCTTCCAAAGAGCTGGATTTGTGTTTTTGTCAGTGTGTTTCATGTTTGAATGCAGCTGACCGCTGCGGCCCATGAGTTTGCCTTGGTGGGAGGCCAGTGCTGGCTTAATAGGCTTGGCCATCACCTATTCGCTGCGACTCACTGACACACTCAACCAGGCAGATTGTGTGCACAGCCGTGGTCAGCTCTTTGTCACCTTCCAAAGCAACGATGGTCAGGGCACGCGTTGGAAAGCAGTGTCCAATAGAACACAATGTGAGTGAGATATGAATGCAAAGTCCGACGTAATGACTGCATGCCGAATTGAAGATGGTGCCATCTCTTCGCTGCTACTAGGAGCAAGGACGCTACTAGGAGCAAAGGGCATCGCGCAAGAGATCTTGCTAAATTTGGCAAGAAGAGACGCACAGGAACGGATTCGTCACTGCATCGGCCTCCAACCTAAGAGCTTCTAGCTACAAGTAGTTTCTTGTTCCTAGTAGTAATGGCCTCCAACCTAATAGTAATGGCCTCCACCTACTATCTACATGAGACAGATCAAAGTAAGAAAGAACAAGACAAATTGGAAAAACACAACTCGGACCCTGAGGCCGTAGCGGTAGCTACTAACCACTAGACTCGTGCTGCTGCCAGGTTGATCCCTCAACAGTCCAAAGACAAAACGGAACAAGCCTCAACCACCAACCAACCTAGGAGCAAGGACGCTGCTAGTAGCTCCTGCCCTTACTACTAGGAACAAGAAGCTACTAGGAGCAAAGGGCATCGCTACTAATAGCGATGGCCTCCAACGGATCACCGACCCGTTCATCAATCAACTCAGTCGTGGGATCAACCCAGCATCCCGGCCGGTAGAGGAATGTGGCCACGGACGTAACTATTCCTACACTCCAAAAAACAACATCCGACCAAGAATTGTCGGTGTCATTCTGCTTTGCTCTTTTTCTCCTATCCCTGCAGCTACACTCTAGCCTTCTGCATCTAACAAGAGTTGGACACAAATGATGACCTGAATGGAGTGTGTGGCGAGAAACAGCTTGGCGAGACGGCGAAGACATGCGAAGACCCCAAAGTAGCAAGGCCAATGGGTGACTCAACCGCGGTTTGTCGCACATAGACTGTGACCCGCAAACGCTAACAGGATCAAACAGGCTCATCAATTCCACAACAACGACGATTGTCCACGTATGTCCAAGTCTTTCCACCTTCCGTTTGCGGTATTTGTGACGTCCCGTTTTGTAGCTGTATCTTTATAATAGTAAGGGCTCCGCCCTGGTGCCGCCGACCCCTTTTCTTGGGGGAGGAGCTGGAAGACCAGAAGCCGGACAGGGATTGCTATAAGCATACACCGGCTATGTGCTCAAGACTCTGTATTCTTGATTCCTTTTACCCGGGCTTAGGCTACACTACGGACGCGCCAGTGTATGCACAGTCCTTGTCAGGAAAGCTGAGATGAGCTGTGTGCCTGAAACCTTGACATATCACACTGGTGGTGCTTGCTGCCGGCGGCGCTGCTATAACCATACACCGGCTATTTCCTCAAGACACTCTATTCTTGACACCTTTTACCAGTGCTTATCCTACACTACGGACGCCCTAGTGTATGCACAGTCCTTGTGATGCTTACCCCTCGTTCCGGCTGAAGGCATAGATAAGCGGGGGGTAAATCGACCCCCCAGATTTGCCATCCCAAGTCCTCCCGAAACCATTCTCAGCATGAACTCTCATTTCAGGACCATACTGACCCAAAGGAAAGTTCCAAGACCACTCTCAGGACGGTCTTTCGTTACAAGGGGGCTGGGTGCACCATCACAAGGACCTTTTTTCCACATCAGAGCGTGTTCTAGCGCATCCACCAACACATCATCACGCTCAGGATGTCCATCTCATCATGCATTCGCAAGTTGATGTAACCTTGGCGATGCACGGAGTTGTTCCCCAGTCACATCTGACATCTAGATTTAACATATGCTTCAAAAAACGATTGCAAAAAAGAGGTCAAAAGTTATGACTGATGCTGAGATTGGCAGCCCCATGTAGAAACGAGGGAGCAACACTTGCTCCACATAGTTTTTGGAACAGGCATTGGCAAGGTCCGACACCTTCCCCACAAAATCTTCACTTTTGAACCCGTGGTAGAACCTGCTGTTTTCTCCTTATCATGTTGGCAACGAGTGAATCGCAATAGACCCTTTGGACTTTAGAAAATACCTCGCCTCAGACCACCCATTCCTTTCAAGAGCTTCAGTCAGAGGTGCAAAGGCTGTTGAAGATATAACCAAGTTTCTTTCGCTTTCTTCAGCGTGTAGGATTTCTTGGAAAGCCTAGGTGTCCATGGACTGTTTTAATGCAGGAAACATGAACAGCCAAACATTCTCAATCTATCAGTTTAACTGCTAGATCAACGATCATGAGCCATGATAAGCCAGGGCAGTGAGCCCAAACCGGATGTTCCATTCAAGTCACATGGAACTTTGGTTTGGTGGGCCACCGCAGAAGTCCAGCTTGGATGGCAAGGCCAGCAAGTTGACAATAGGCCCTCATGCAACCATCCTAAGTGGGAGGCTTGTTGGAGAATATATTTACCCTTGCAGCTTTCCTTTAACTAACAAAACTCTGTTTAAACATGAAAACAAGACATGCGTCACCAAGCCCATAGAAAAAGCTTTCTGGGCCAAGCTGCGGCATAGAAAAAGCTTTCTGAGCCAAGCTGCGGCCTTTGTTTGGCCAGTGCAGGAGTGATGCCGACGCAGTAGGGCTTTGAAGGCGGGGGTGGCTGCTTAACGTGGCGTGCTGGGGCTTTCGTTGCCTGGGACAGGCCAAGAGAAGAGGCACGCCTGCCAGCTGCCGAGAGGGGTTTGGGGGCGGGGCCCGTGGGTCTCTAACGTTGCCTTCGGAAGCCTATAGAAAAAGCTTTCTGAGCCAAGCTGCGGCCTGCACTGCCAGCTGCCGAGAGGGGTTTGGGGGCGGGGCCCGTGGGTCTCTAACGTTGCCTTCGGAAGCCCATAGAAAAAGCTTTCTGGGCCAAGCTGCAGCCTGCAGGAACGTTTGCGGGCGGGGCCCGTGGGCGAAGAGAAGAGGCAGGCCCATAGAACAAGCTTTCTGGGCCAAGCTGCGGCCTGCAGGAACGTTTGCGGGCGGGGCCGGTGGGCGAAGAGAAGGGGCAGGCTTCGGAGAGGCCGCGGCAGGCCTGCCGGCTGCCGAGGAGGGTTTGAGGGCGGGGCCCGTGGGTCTCTAACGTTGCCTTCGGAAGCCCATAGAAAAAGCTTTCTGGGCCAAGCTGCGGCGTAGAAAAAGCTTTCTGAGCCAAGCTGCGGCCTTTGTTTGGCCAGTGCAGGAGTGATGCCGACGCAGTAGGGCTTTGAAGGCGGGGGTGGCTGCTTAACGTGGCATGCTGGGGCTTGCGTTTGCACTGGCCACCCGTTCCACCCTCCGGTGTCCCTGGCGCCGCCCCGCTTAGGCAAGGGCTAAGCAGGGGTCGGCGGATTCTCTTAAAAGACCTTTCCGTGTCCAAAGATTGATTTGCTGTTTTCGGGTGTATGCTGATTCGCCATCCGGTTGCGTTTGCTTCGGACAGGTCAACAGAGAGAGCGCTGACCGGGAAACACAGATGGTATCGGTTGAGCGTGTGCAGAATTATGTGACCAATGTCAAGCAGGACAGGGTTTCATGGTTCGCTATTAGTAACAAGTGCATCGCTACTAGTAACAAGTGCCTTACTAGTAGTAAGAAGGTTCGCTTCTAGTAACAAGTGCCTTACTACTAGTAACAAGGTTCGCTATTAGGTTTCATCGTTCATTAAGACAACGAACATCATTCTGCAAGAGAACCCAGAAAGTGTTTGTAAGATGACTGACAGAGAAATGCAGGAAAAGGCATTGCGGGTTCGAGATTCAGTCGGGCCATCTTGGCCAAGTCTGAAACTTTGATCTGGCGATTTAATTCACTGGGAGCCTTCTCTCTTGTCGGCAAAGAGATGCTTTGTACCGAGGTCAGGGTAACATCCAAGTTGAGAACGCCGCCATCTCAGCTCATTTCATGTCTCTCTCGTGTTCTCAGTGCCCACCGTTTTTGGTCCAGGTCAGGATGCGGTATCGCGATGGTCTTCCCATTGCCGTCCTCTTAGGGCAGTGTTTTCCCTCTTCTGACTTGCAGTTGCGCCAAACGACTGCAGTAACAAGAAGCTACTAGGAGCAAAAGGGCATCGCTACTAGGAGCAAGGACGCTACTAGGGGCTCCTGGCCTTACTACTAGAAACAAGAAGCTACCAGGAGCAAACAACCAGTAACTGAAGAACCAAATTGGCCTCCACCCTAAGAGCGATGGCCTCCACCCTACTAGCGATGGCCTCCACCCTAGAAGAGCCAGTGTTAAGAACCAGTTGACAGGTGCTTGACGGCATTTCCCTTGATATCAAAGTGAAGAGCTTAAGTTCGCAATGAAAACCAATCCATTGCCAAGTACCAGGCCTCGCGCTAGGCAGCTATAAGCCAATCTTGCTGGGCATTCTCTAATCCTTATAGCGATGGCCTCCAACTAATAGCGATGGCCTCCAACCTACTAGCGATGTTTCAACCATGTTTGTTTGTTTGCACTTGTTCTTTCCATTTCTTTGCCCAAAAAGGCTGGTGAAAGAATTGGAATCGTTGGCCGAACAGGCAAGCTCCAAGCGCAGCCGGTTTTGTGAAGACTCCTACACCACTCACCTCGCACTCAAAAAACTGTAATTGTATCTGGAAGATTCTGGAAGCAAATTGATACATTTTCTGGTTTTTACCCGCACGTATTCTTCCCCATAATCACTTTGTGGCTGGCTTTTGTGATTTGTGACCTTCTTCTACTTCCTTTGTTTTTAGCATAACTATTCGAAGGATCGTGTGTTGATTCCGCTTTTGTTCGGCTAGGGGCTAGTGGCTAGTGGGTAGGCCGTGAGGGGAAAAAGGATGGAAGGTTACGAAGTAACTGAGTTGCGCATAGTTGCGCCGCCGTGCTTGCCGGGGTGACGCCTTCCAAGTTCTTGCTGGCTCAGAGCAAACGGACCCCCAGGACCACAAATTCCACAGTAGTTGGCAACGACTCTTTTAGACTCTGTTAGACTTATAATGACTTATAGTAACAAGAAGCTATTAGTAACAGGTGCCACGCTAGTAGTAACAAGTGCCTTGCTAGTAGTAACAAGAAGCTACTAGAAACAATATAAGTTAGGTTTGTAGAGCCATTGTGATTTGTGGCGAAGCGCAGGCTGTGGAAAGTCGTCCTTCCTCTCAACATTCCTTCGGCTGGTCGAACTCGAGGACCGTGGGGTTCTGCGGGGTTGCTCCTAGTAGTGATGCCATGAGCCCCTAGTAGCTTCTTGTTACTACTAGTAAGGCACTTGTTACTAGTAGCGATGCACTTGTTCCTAATAGCTTCTTGCTCCCAGTAGTAAGGCCAGGAGCCCCGTTCGTAGCGTCGTTGCTCCTAGCGCAGACTTGAGCCAAAGACCCAAAGAACAGAAGCATCCTGCCTCGTTTCGTTCGGGAACAGCGCTCGTGTTGCGTTGGAAATTGCCTGTGACCATCTCTCTGAAAGTATGGAATTCAGGGGAAAGGTCATGTGAATTTGCTGTTTGATATCGTGGTGTTTGTTTCAAGCGATGCTTTGTGAATTGATGCGTCATGTGTCATGCCATGAAGTTGATGTCTTCGTGATGTGGCGAAATGTTTGTGACGTTGCAGTGGAAGCGTGCAGTAGTCTGTGTAGTATTGGAACCATTGCTTCCAGGTTGGAGGCCATTGCATCAAAAGGCTTACGTGTTCAATTTGTGTCACTAAGCCCCTGCTCCGCGAACTGCCCGCCTAAGCAATCAAACTGCTCCACCCTTCCAACAACCACATTGAAAAAGGCGCAAAGAAAGGACGACTTTGCAGTTGGATGCATTTTTTGTGCAATCAGTGGAAACAGCGCAGCGCTTTCTCTGAGTTCTGCTTGTGTTCAGGAGGGTCGCATTACAGTGGATGGTGTGGACATCAGCAAAATCGGTTTGCACGATCTTCGAGAGAAGGCACTTTGATGCGCTTTGTACGTTTTCATGGTCAAGTGGCCCCACTCTGCTCAGCTGTTTGACCATCGAAACCTCAGGTGGCGATGATTCCTCAGGCACATGTTGTGGGGTTGAACGGGTCAACATTTTTGCCTTTGCCACTCCAGACTAGAGGCAATAGAAATCCGGGAGAACAGACCGCACAAACAATTGAACCATGCCATTGTTTCCTTGAGAGCTTCTATGGCCAGGACCCTGCGATTCTCACTGGCAGCGTGGTTGCCTGAGGTTCCACAGGTGTTTGATGTTTCTGGGAGCTATGTTGAACAACTCAAAGGATTCATCACTTGAAATAAGAAGTAACAAGAAACTACTAGGAGAAAAGGGCGTCGCCACTAGGAACAAGAAGCAACTAGTAACTGTTCAGTTTAGTTTTTGAGTTGGCCACCTTGGTAACTCGCTCCTTGAAGGGGGTATTCGCAATTTCGCGAGGTCCATTGGTCCATGTGCCCTTGTCAATTGATAGCTTTTTAACTTTTTGATATGGTTCATGGGTGCGCCCTTGTTACTAGTAGTAAGGCCAGGAGCTACTAGCGTCCTTGCTCCTAGTAGCGATGCCACGAGCCCCTAGTAGCTTCTTGCTACTAGTAGCTTTTTGATATGGTTCATAGGTCTACAGTAGACCGTCTACTTGCTAGGTTGGAGGCCATCGATATGTCTACTTCTCCAGTGGTTTCAACTGGGTTCCGATCAGCCGGGTCTAATCTCGGTTCGATGTTCAACTGGGTCAGCTGGGCCAACCGGGCTCGTATTTGCTGGTCTCCTAGCAGCTTCTTGCTAGTAGTAAGGCCAGGAGCTACTAGCGTCCTTGCTCCTAGTAACGATGCCACGAGCCCCTAGTAGCTTCTTGCTACTAGTAGCTTTTTGATATGGTTCATAGGCTTTCTCCTAGTAGCGAGGCCAGGAGCCCCTAGTAGCGTCCTTGCTACTGTTGGAGCTAGTTTTCTGTCGCAGTTGCGCTTGGAGATGGATTCAAGGTTAGGTTCAACCTGGACCCATTCGGAGACAAAACGGATCAGGAGCGTTTGCAGAACCATCGCTATTGAACAACATGTTTCATGGAATGAGCATGACAATTGACAAATACATAGATGTTTTCTCTCTATGAGGTTGGAGGTCGTTGCTCTTAGGTTGACTATTTTCCATTGTCTTTTTGCACAAAAATGAAGACTACGAGACTGTGAAAGATGGAATCCAGGAGCTTTGGGAGGCATTGGATGCAGAATGTGCATGGCATGGGATGCATGATGTGCACAAATGTTGGTCTCGTCATGTGTGTGTGAGAGTGAAAATGACAGGTAATAGAAAAGTCTCAACTGAAGCCAAGACCTCAAAGTATCTTGCGAGACTGAGTTGCTAGCCAAGCTATATAGATTCTTTCGCTTTCTGCAAACTCATTTTCCAGATGTGTTTCTTTTGCAAAGGCCTCGCATCGACAGTGCAGGTGGACTGGATAGCAAGGTGAGAGTTTCAGCATGGTTCGATTACTTGGCGACGATTTCTTACCTGATAAACATGACATGGATGATGCAAGCACCAGGGGCTCCTGGCATCGCTACTAGGAACAAGAAGCTGTTAGAAACATGACATGGATTTTGGGAGCCCCTAGTAGCGTCCTTGCTCCTATATTATTCTGCAAGCACTCTCGTGAGTTTTTGCGATGTTACATTCAAGCAACGATACGTCTCTTACAGTTGCAACTTTGCAATCGCTTCAGGTTGAGGAAGGTGGCGGCAATTATTCAGTTGGAGAATTGCAGCTCCTTTGCCTCGCTCGTGCTTTGCTGCGGCGTCAGGACGGTGAGACCGTGTTCAGTAAGAAAAGCGAGGAACAAAAGTAGACACAAGAATGCTAGTTCGCACCTTAGCTGTTTCACATCATTTTTTTTGCAAGAACGCTAGTTGAAAGTGCCACCTACGAAAAGCCATGCTGCGGCATGAGTTTGCATGATCCCTGCCACGACTCCATTTGCAGCGCATGCACTGTTTCACGCGTTATACAGAGTTGAGGGTACCCCCGCAGTTGTTGTCTCATCAAATTCGAGTGAAAAACCCTGCACTATTGCCATTGACATCCTGATCATGCGGAAATGAATATTTTTCCATGTTTTTCCTCATCTGTTGCTTGAAACATGGCCGCTTCTGTGGCGCTGTCATCGACAAACAAGACCAGGGAGTTGCCTCAAGGAACCAAGCTGGGACAATCTAGGAACGGAACCAAACTTCATGAAGTAGGCGCCTACTAGCGATGGCCTCCAACCTAATGGCGATGGCGCCTACTTGATGAAGTAGGGGGTCGGCAAAAAGAGTGGGACCACTTCTTTGACGACTTCGTTTAATAGCAGCAAAGGGCATTACTACTAGGGGCTCCTGGCCTTTCTACTAGGAACACAGGCGCTACTAGGAGCAAAGGGCATCGCTACGAACGGAGCAAGGACGCTCACTTCAGCCCTTCGGCTTTGTCGACTTCCGCTCCGGACTAGCTTGGAGCTGCATGCGTTTTTCCCGCATCGTTTCCAGGAGTCTGGTGGTTTGTTGCTGCTTGACGAGGACGACTGAGCTGATACTTGTTGTAAAAGCAAACAAAACAAAAGCAAGAAAGAATACAAAGCTTCTTGATTTAAAAACACGTCTCTTTTGCTACTTTCTTTTTTAGACCTTTTAGACCCTTGAACAATGCTGTCAAGTTGAGAAGTGAGTTCTAGATTTGCGGGAGAGGCGACAAGTGCTTTGGATGCAGAGACCGACCAAACAATTCAGAAGGCCCTGCCGAATTGGTCATTTGAGTCATGTATGTTTCACCATGTTTCAACATTCCATACAAAGTGCATCGCTACTAGTAACAAGTGCCTTACTAGTAGTAGCAAGTGCCTTACTAATACTAACAAGAAAGCAATTAGAAACAAGAAGCTAGTAGTAACAAGTGCATCGCTTCTAGTAACAAGTGCCTTACTACTAGTAACAAGAAAGCAATTAGAAACTGTTTCAACAGTCCATAATTGCACGATTGAAATGCGTGAGGTGATCCGGTCTGACTTCAAGTGCACGATCATTACGATTGCCCACCGAATCCAGACATTGTAGCCCTGGCTTTATTCAATTTGATTCAACTTAATTTTCAACCCAATAGCCAATAGCAATAACCTAAGCAATCTCCAACTAATAGCAATGGCCTCCACCCTAGTAGCAATGGCCTCCAACCTTATAGCAATGGCCTCCAAACCCAGAGTGCCCAAACCCTTTAGAAGCGACTTGCCAGGATGGACTATGACAAGGTTGCAGTGTTCGAGGGTGGCAAAGTCGTAGAGTTCGATCCGCCCCAGGTGCGCAGAAGGTTCTCGCGAAAGGCTGTTCGGTGAAAGGTCGTTTCAGCTTGTTCCTAGTAGCGATGCCCTTTGCTCCTAGTAGCTTCTTGTTCCTAGTAGTAAGGCCAGGAGCCCCTAGTAGCGTCCTTGTTACTACTAGTAAGGCACCTGTTACTACTAGCGTGGCACTTGTTTCTAATAGCTTCTTGTTTCTAATAGCTTCTTGTTACTACTAGTAAGGCACTTGTTACTCGTAGCGATGCACTTGTTCCTAGTAGCGTCCTTGCTCCTAGTGGCGTTTGCCTTGCAAAAATGTTTTCAGGGCAGAGGGTTAAGCAATGATACTAAATGAACAGGGCGCGGTGGGGTTGCGAGTTGCACCTTCTTTTCATCCATCCTCTTCCTGATTGTCATTTTCATCGGGAGGGCAATTTTTCTGGGTATTTCTTTCTGTGCTTAAAACTTGTTGATTGATTCCTTCCTGTCTTTCCACTTCTTGCTTCTCGTTTTCTGCTTCTTCGCTTCTTTGCTTTCCTGCGTTTCTGCTTCTTTGCATTTCGGTTTCCTTTCAGTGTTTTTTGCTGTTCTGCTTTTCTGCTTGTTTGCTGTTTGTTTGCTTTTCTGCTTCTCTGCTTTTCTGGTTCCTTCCAGCTGTCCGCCTCTCTCCTTTTCTACTTGCTCTTTTTAGCTTTTCTGCTGGTTTGTTGTTCTCTTTCTGTGCTTTTCTCCTTTTCAGGTGTTTTGCATGTCTTTTTCTCTAAGCTTTTGCGCCTTTCTGCTTCTCGGCTTTGCTTGCTTTTCTGGGTGTTGTCTTCTTTGCTTTTCTGCTTGTTTGGTGTTCATTCTGCCTCTTTGCTGTTTCTGCTTTTTGTTTCTTTTGTTGTGTATTGATTTTTCTGAGCAAGAAGCTGAAGAAAGCAAAGGAGGATGCCAGGAAGCAAGGATTCAAGACAAAAAACCAAGCAGAGCGCAAGGGCCAGAAAGCAGCACCACGGCAGCAAGCCACACAAACAAATGGGAGCAGTTCCAAACGACTGCGGATCATAGTCAGCAGCTTCACCTGTACACCACTGGCGGATGCGGCAAACGCATGGCCAACACATTCCAAAACACTTGAAGCAATAACACTTTCGCTACTAGGGGCTCCTGGCCTTACTACTAGTAGCAAGGACGCTACTAGGGGCTCCTGGCATCGCTACTAGGGGCAAGAAGCTACTAGTAGCTCCTGGCAATACTAGTTTTCTTTTTTTTTCAATTAATCATGTAAAGAGATCGGGTAGCAGAGTTTCTCATTCCATGTGCGCTGAGTGCGCTTGCGGTACTCACTACGAACGCTAACATTCACGTGTGCACAGCTTTCAGGAGCTGATGAAGAAGCAGTCCAAGTTTCAAGCTCTTGCCAAAGACGGTGGTGCAATGTAACACTGAGCCACGAGCTTGAACTTTCCGAGTTTGATCCACTTTCGTTACCTTTTCGCTGAGCGTTGCTTGGCCATTTGTAAACATGTTTGATCGGACTGTGAATTGCAGTTCGTATCTAATGTTTTGACCCGACTTCCTTTCCAGACTGAATTATCGTAAAGAATGCAGAGCACATTGTGGGGGCCGAATGGACCTAACTCACAAGTGCTTGGATTCAATTGATTGGAACAGAAAAGATATATAGTCAAAACGCTCTTTGTGAAAGACTAGGTAGTCCAAACCAAGTCTAATTTTAAGTGCGCTCGAGGTTATCGGGGAAAAAACACGGAAGTGAAAGCATGAACCTTCTTTTGCTGCGTTGCCTTCGGTCTGACTCGAGCGGCGGTATGGCCTGGTTTGTGGGCCACAAACTCACACCAAAAGCTTCACGGTGAGCGTATGCTCTGCACTTCAAACATAGAATTAGGTTCCACCACTGGAACCTAGCGGTCGTCGATGAGCCGGGATCACCCGATTCACACACAGCCCACAGTACTCGTAGTCACAGACTTCTGTTGACTGTGATAATGATGAACATTGGTGGTCCAGGTGAAATTTCCGCCCCTGTCTTGTCACACACACTGGGAGTGGTATTCCTCCGATGTGGTCGGTCAAGTATGCCGTTTGTTGTGTCACTTCTGCTAGGTCTTGCTCCAGCTGTCGAAACAATCGCTGTTGCTCGTCTAGCCTTTCGTCTGTCTGGTTTTGCCGTATGTCTTTTGCTCTGATTTCTTCTTCAAGTTCTTTGCATCTTTCTTCAAATCTTTTATTATCTTTTCGCACTCTCTCCATGGCTTCATTTCTTCGTTTGATGAAGTCTTTGTATTGTGAGATTCTTGCTTCAAATCTGTTTGTCGTTTCTCCTCTTCTTTGTGGTTGTGCTTGCTTTTGCTGTTGTTTATCTGGTTCTGTTTGCATTTGTGTTTCTGTTAATATGATTATATTATTCTGGACGTTGTCGCTAACACGCGTTTAACCAACATCATCGTAAACGATAACAATATAAATCCTAAATTGCTTTTACCATCATCGATTTATATTATTATATAATATATATGATATAATATACATGCTATATATATAATAAATAAACAATATATTTTATTAATATATGAATATATTAATAAATAATTAATTTAATTTTATATTTATTTAGAATTGAATTTTATTTATTTTTGATTTAATCTTAATTTAATATTAATTATATTTATCACTCGGACACTGGTTGCGCACTGGTTGCGGAAAGCAAAGGACCGCAAAGGACCGAAGGGAGGCTCGAAACTCACGAAGTTCTCGAACTCGTACTGTCGGGCGGCACGCGAAGTCGCGCCCTTTTCGCTAAGCCATCGGCGTTAGGATCGATCGCCCACCGCTAGTGGTGGAAGGGGATATTTGGGCTATGTCGGCCACATCATGAAATATATGAGCCACACATACTGACAAGTGGCTTGAAATGCCGTTAGCAATTTTACCCCGGTAAAAGGTGCTTGAAACAAAAAAAAACTCATTAGTTGTACTCTCAGTCGATTATCCACTCCTCGTATGACAGGTTGCTATAGTCGCGCCTCCAGGATATTATGTCTTCCTGGAGGGTGGTGTCGCTTAAGCCATTGACTCGGTGAGGAGTCTGAGGAGTAGGGTTGCAAAAAGCGCAACAAGGACGTCGATTAACTCTGTGAGCCTGCTTTAGGCGGTGGCAATCAGCTCGGACGTGGAAGGTGTGACCGAAGGGCGTCACATGGGTGCCCGTGGTGAGAGGGTAATCTTTATTAAAATGGTCTAGGAGTTCCCGGTAGCAGCGCGACAGCAAAGCCTGACATTGTCGAAAGGAATGGTCGATTTCTTCGGCTTCTTGTTGTTCTAGGCGCCATTGTTCCATCATCTCGTTGTGATGCCGGCGGGTTTCCGCATTGGCCTTAGCAGCCTTCACCAAATCGTTTTTTAACTGGGAGATGCGGCGGTCGAAGAACAGGCATTGGTCATCCAACGCACTGTCGAAGTGTCGTTTATTTCGAGCTTGGGCCACCCTCAACTTGATCTTTAGGTCGTTTACCTGTCGGCGGTGTTCATGAAATCTGCCTAGCTTGTAGGTTAGGTAGCTCACAACGAGGGGGGTGAAGAGGATGAAGAGGAACAAATAGGTCAAAATGGACCATTCCTTAGCAGGCTCATCGCCAGCCAAACAAAGACCGTCTGGCTTCAACTGCGTGAAGTCATCTGTGGATTCTGCCGTAACAGCCTTGATCTGGGTGAAGTAGATCATCATTGCCATTGGGGTTCTCAAGGACTTGGAACTCGGCCATGATGTAGGTCCAGTGTCGGCGGCTTCATCCTGCAAGGCATTCTCATCCTCAAGGCTCGACTCTTCCTGCACACTTTCAAGGTGTTCGGTGGAGTTGAGGTGGTGTTGTTGTGGTTTGTGTTGTTTCGTGTTGGTCTTCTTCTTCACTTTTGCGTCGGCGAACTCTTGCCGACTTTCTTCACGTTCTTGTTTGCTCTTTTTCTTGGCCGATGTGTACTGAGGATCCCAGGCCAGCTTGATGCGGTGTCGCCTCAAGCGATCAGCCAGCAGGCTTCTTGTAGAGCTCTTTGTCAAACCATCAGCGAATTGTCTTTCGCTGCTGACCCATTTCAGACAACCTTCAAGGTCAGTTGTCTGTTGCTTAGCCACCTTGATCTCGAGGTAGGTGCGCTTGTCCACTGAAGAACTTGCGGAAGTGGTGGTCTCTTTATGCCATGCATCGTAGAGAGCTTTTGCGTCGGTGACCAAAGTTGGTCGTAGAGCTGAACCTTCTTGTAGTCGTTCACGAAGCTTGGGCCTTGGGTCAAAAATGATTGACCAGAACCTGCAGATGTATTCAGCACTGTCACTGGCGCCACCAGCTGCTTGAGCCTCTGCACTCAAACTGGAACGTGCGACTCGGGGCAGTTTGTAGCTGCGCCAATCAACCACATGGTATGGGGTCTCCTTTTCAAAGACCTCTTCAGGGACCAGAATCGCCAGGTGTCCTCCTTGAGAGGTGTAGTCCTCCCGGGCTGCATGAGAGGCATCAAACATCACCACCAGGCGGATCTTAGAGAGGTCGGAGTGGTTGCTGACAGATTCAAATGGTTCATACTTCAGGGTCACATCTGCTTGTTCCTTGGCGAACTTGAGAAGGGCATTTGCTTCCATGATTGCACGAAGCTTGCCAGTGCGCTGTTGTCCACTAATCAAACTGCAGCTAGCCTGTAGATGAGGTTGTGACTGGACTGAGGGCCATTGCAAACTTCCGAGGAGGGCTCGTAGCTGTCCTCGATCATGTTCATTCATCGGATCTTCAGGGCCACGTCCTCGATGAACAGTCACAGGTTTCACTTTGTGCAAGAAGTGGCTTTGTGACAGGTTCCAGGTGAAGTCTTTTCGGTTGTGGATCACACCGCAATACTCCATGGGTTCATGATCTTCTTGCCAACTTCTAAACTCAAAAACTTCTTTCAGGCGTCGTTCAGCTGCGATGTAGGTGGCACAGCCGCGGTCACCAGCTCCAAGCATGTCGTCCACGTGAAGTGCTATCAGGCCACAAGGAACAGAGGAGCCATCTTCATGATGATGATGAAGTACAAAAAGGCATGGATCAAGGTCATGTGGTGTCCACCCTTCCTGTGTCAGTCTTCTCGTGGCTTCTTGCCACCAACGACGAGGGGCGTCCAACTGTCCGTAGACGGGCTTGATCAAATCCATGCGGGTTTCAGGACCGCAACCAAGGATGTGGAGGCAATCATTTGGAAGTCGGAGCCACAGCTGCCTCTGTTGAGGTAGTCCTTGAAGAAATGCTGTGGCCACGTCGGCGGACCATCCACTCCATCTCAACATGGCAGAGATGGAGAGTAGCAGGTTGCGAGCCAATCTGGATGCCGTAGGCGATTGGGTGTCCAAATTGCCAGCTAAGGCATCGGCATCATTGTAACCACGAACAACCAATCGGGCCTTAGCCCTGGGAGTGCCATCAGGATTCTTCGCCCATTTCAGCAGCATTCGGCTTGACAGGGTTCGATCTGCAACAGCCTTGTCTGAGGTAGTGAATTCCCAGACACCACATTCGAAGAAGCTGCGAAGCTCTTTGCACTTGGCCTCAAAGAACAGCTGTTGTTCTGCTTGTGTGAGGTTCTTTTCTTTGATTTCCGACTTGCTTTTCTCTTTCTTGATGTGTCGGAGCTGCTGGTTCTTCATGTGCTGAGCGGCCTTTCGGATGGGCTTCACGGATGTGGGAGAGCTAGAGGACAAGGTTGCAGTCATTCCAAGTTCCATGCGAGTCACGGCATTGATCTGAAAGATCGTGCATCCAACCCACTTTGGAGGTAGACCTTTGGCGGCTTCTTTGGAGTGTCTCTTGAACACGTTCTCCGTCTTGAAGTGGTCGGTGGTCGCCGAAGGTTCTTGTCCTGGCTCACGAAAGATGGTGACTCTGACATCATCAAGTTTCTCCAAGGGCACTGGAAGATCTGCCTGATCGCCTGGAAGAAATTTCTTTGACCGTGGTCGTACGTGATGGCGAATAAGGCATCCACCCTTGACTTCCCAGAAGTCAGCTAACTTTTGTTTGAGCTCCAGGGAGTTGTTGTTCTTGTTAAAGGTCCAGCCATGAGGAAGGTTGGCCGTGTCAATGTCCTGGACTTCAAACACCATTTCACCAGTTTCGTGAGGAGGCCTTGCGTAAGGGCTTGGTTGCTCATGATGCCCTGGTCGTCTTGGACCAAAGGACAGGGTTTCCTGCTTGTCAAGTCGAAGTCGTTGCTGTTCGAAGGTCTCAGGGGCAACTGGAGTCCTGTAGGCCTCTGACGTCACCGGGTCAAGGTTCATCGGAGTTGCAGGAACACTTGGAGGCTCAGGCTCAATCGAAGGTTCCGGCTGATCGGACGTCTCATCCAGGTGTTCAGGAACAGCCGGTAAAAGGTGTTCTGGTACTGCTGGATGTTCTGGAGGTTCAGGAGCCGTGGAGGCAGCAGGAGCAGCGGCTGGGAACGATGGATTTCCCGAAGTGTCAACTTCATCAGTAGGTTCCGCTGGCTCTGAGGGAGTGTAGTCCTCCAGGGAGTCATCGATTGCTGCGTCGAGTCGGCGACGTTTCTGATCTGGGCCTTCATCCGGAGACATCTCTTCTTCATGTTCTTCAACATCTAGCAAGTCTTGCTTGTTGGCCCTGCTCAGATCGAGAAATCTGGTCACGCCTCTTGACTTCAGTGCCTGAAGTGTGGATGCAGCATCTTTCAATTTCTCAACAGCGGTCTCTTCGATGGCAGTGAAGTCTGGTCGAACGTGATGTGGTGCAGCTCGAATGAGTTGTGTCTTGTGAGCCAACCAATACACATGAGGGCTGCCGTCTTTTTCCTCGACACAGACGACCTTTGCCGGTCCGCGCCATCGAATCTTGCACAGCTCATGTTGTTGTGCATCTCGCCAGTAGAAACATCTTTGGCCAGCTAGCAACCGTTGATTGACGCCAGAGTAGCGTCGAAGGAGAGCTCGTCTCAGCTTCCGATCAGTCTCCGCCTGGAGGATTGCAGTCTTGGCCACATTGCGCTGGTGCAAATGCTTCTCGAAGGTCTCGTGTTCGTGCAGGGCGCAAGAACTGGACTGCAGTAGACCAGGTTGAGCAGGTTGATAGCCAAGAACCCATTGAGTCGGCGACGAGAATCCTGCAACTGTGGGCTGAGCATTGAGTTGAGGCAGGATGTAAGTCAAAGCTTGGCGAATGCCTTCTCTTCCTTCCAACTTCAGGTCGTGCATGTAGACCTCAATGGCCTTTCTCAAGACTGCATGCCTTCGTTCAACTTGGCCAAGTCGTTGGTGTGCTTCACCAGGAGCAACTTTATGGCTGATGCTGTGGCTGTCGGACCACTCCATGAACTCATTGCTAAGCCAGCCGCGACCTTCATCAGTCACCAACTCTTCTGGGACACCGAAATGAGCAATCCAATGTCGCTCAAGAGAAAGGATGTAGTCCTGGGTCTGCTCGGTCTGAACCTGACATGCCGTCTGGTACTTCGTAGCACTATCCAAGATGGCCATGATCGGCCACTTCTTCTTGTCGGTGCGGATCCAGAAGACATCAGCTTGGATGGACTGATTGAAGCGGTCGGCCTTCTGCACGTTGGCTGGTGCAGGTTGATTTGGTTTCTTGTAGCGCAAACATGAGCTGCAGAGGTAGTTCTCAGCCACGGACAAAACATCAGTCGACGCGCCTCTGGCTTGAAGGAGATCGACCAGGGCTTGAGCAGAAGGATGACCAAGGTTTCGGTGGAGCTTCTGAACAACTCGTAGAGCATTCTGCTTGCCTTCTGCGTGAAGATCAACGATCTTGCCCAGGTATTGCGACTGCTCACGAACCGCGAAGGAGCCTTCCCAGAGTTGAGGCTTCTCTGAACAGGCCAATGAAGTAGCCAGTGTGGATGCGAAGGCGGGCTGGTACTCCTCCATGAATGAGGTTCGATGAGTGCCATGTCCCTTCATGTAGCCTTCCAGTCGACAATGTTCATGATCCCCTGAGCATAGCCGGTTCATCGTTTCTGCAATGGAGCGCTTGGTCGTGAGAATGGTGGTGTCTTTTCTTGCTGGCTTCCATGCTCCATCAACATCCATGCACATAGCACCATACTGACATTGATGATGTCGTGCTCGATAGCCAGGCAAGGAGTGAAGCGCTGCTGTGTCCCAAGACAATGCAGAAGTTGGCTGCTCAATGTGTCCATGTCGTCCTGAGTGCAACTGCTTCAAATAGACTCGCTTGCAGAACTGAAGGTGGGTCCTGTGGTGCCATTCTCGAAGACCTCGAAGTACTTCTTTTCTCTGCTCAGAGGTTGCAGAGATGTTCTGCATGCGTGACCATGGACCGCAGCTGGGAGACAGGTAGATCTCGTCCGGCATCTCTTGATCTTGTAGTTCCAGGAAGGCGCGTTGATGCGACTGGAGCGCGAAGTTCCATCCTGTCTCAAAGCCGAACGTTTTGACGGTCATGCCAATTGCTTCAGCCACCTGCGACAATCGAGCTCTTCCGGTATAAACTTCCCATAGGACACGAGGAGGAGCTCGATGTTCTTGTCTGATGGCCTCATCAACCAAGGCGTTCATCGACCTCAGCTGGGCTTGGGTGTGCATGACCAAGGTCTTCCAGTGTTTGGTGGTCATAGGAGACGTGTCCTCTGATGGCATCTGTTCTTCAACGTGGTAGAGGTGCTCTTCCATCAAAAAGTCTTCCATGGAGCCAGGGTCGCCCAGTTTCTCATCAAGCTGAAGGTCGAAGGAGGGTTCCCACGTCAGCTGCTCGGTCTCAAACGAGGACGTGAGGTCAAGGAGGTACTCCGCGTGGCGACCGAGAACTGCATCTTGCCAGTCAGCGTCACCAAACTTGACTTTCTGCTGGGAGAAGTCGATGGTCATGTCCAAGGCGCGAATCACGGGTCTTCCAACCAACATAGGAGTTTCACCAGACAAGACGAAGCCTTGGATCAGTCCATGTTGTCCATTCAGGTAGACTGGCACTTTGGCTACCCAAAAACTGACCTTCTGGTGGTCACCACCGAAGTGAAAAACTCGATGGCAACGCTGCAGTTGGAGCTTGTCAGTGTCATAGCCCAATTGCCGGAGGTGGTTGACATAGCGGACCAAGGGACCTGATCCCATCAAGAACGATGAAGCGCCAGGGTCCAACATAGCACAGTCGGGGCGTTCATGGCCAAAGGAGTCCTCGAGCATAACCAAGGTCGTTTCGTCTTGCATGATGGCCATTCCTTCAACTGCTTGGCGCTTGCCGCTTGTCGTAGTTGCCGGTTTAGGCGTAGAGCTCGTCTGTGTGCATTGAGCTGTCTTGTGGAACGTTGAACCACATCGCATACATGCTGGAGCCATTGCTGCACGAGCTCGTCCTTTTGGATCTGCAGGCTTTCCAGGAGGTCGGTCATAGCGATAGGTGCTGCTCTTTCCTTTTCCTTTGCCTTTTCCTTTCTTCCCTTTTCCCATGCCTTTGAAAGGCTTTTGCGAGGAGGTGGAACTCGATGAAGGGCCGGAGTCCTGGAGAGCCACCACAGGAAGGAATCCTCTGCTGAGCTTCAAATCATTGAAGCGTTTGCGAGCATCAACGTATGAAGCATAGGCCTCATCGTACTCTTCGGTGTCAAACTCATGCTCGTGTTCATCAGGTTCTTCCTGGTAGTAGGCGGCATCGGCATCGAATGACTCCCATCACTGGTCATCATAGTTCTCTTCATCATCCATGTAGTAGGCATTATCTTCCTCCTCATAGGTCGGGGCGTTGTCATCCCATTCGAAAAAGGATTCGGAGTCATCGCCAGCAAAGTATGAACGGCTCTTGCCGGATCCAGCACGGTTCCAGCGGTCTCTGAGGAGCTGACCGCCACCTTTGTAGTCTTGGCCGAGGATGGCAAACATCGCTTGCTGAATCTTGGCTCGTTCAAGTGAGGCGGCCTGTGTCATGATCATCTGCTTTTGCTCAAGTGTCAGGGCGGCCTTAGTCAGGAGGAACCACCCTTGGATTTGTGTCGGTAGTCGAACACCATGCTTCTCGATTTGCTTCAGCCGGTCATCGTGGTCCGTCACATAGTTCAACAAGGTCTGACCTGGCTTGCGAGCCAAATGCTCAAAGTAGGACGAGAAGTCGGCAGGCATCTCGACATTGGCGTCATACTGGAAGGAACCGTCCAAGATCTTCAAGATCTCTTGGAGAGCTTCTGGGTCTTCTGCCTTATCCAGGTTGAAGTCTTCGCACAACTTCCACGCTGTTCCTGAGAGGCTGCCCAGCAGGTTCAAGATCGCTTCGCCCTGCCGTTTTGACAGGGACATTTTTCTGTAGTAGATCAAGATTCTTTTCCGCCATTCGCGGTATCCCGTCAGGGAGCCATCGAAGAGCGGGATGAAACTATCCCGGGCCGAGTGGTTGTCGAACTCGACCTTCTTTTCCGTGGTAGTGGTAGAAGCCATACTTCAGGTTGAAGGAGGTGTCACCACAAATGCTGTAGAGCTCGTCAGGGTCAAAGAGCTCTGGTGGGAGCGAGTGCGGTAGGACTCAGCAAGGTCAAAGAGCTCTGGTGTAAGCACTGCTCCTGAGCGTGAAGAAGATGACAAGGTTGTTGGTGCAGTTTCCGTGGAAGGTGAAGTGGGCTTTGAAGGTGGATATGATGTAGTGTTGCGGAGATCGGCAGGGAGCTACCCGGAGCGTGGTAGCTCCGCTACCAATGTCACTCGGACACTGGTTGCGGAAAGCAAAGGACCGAGTGGAGGCTCGAAACTCACGAAGTTCTCGAACTCGTACTGTCGGGCGGCACGCGAAGTCGCGCCCTTTTCGCTAAGCCATCGGCGTCAGGATCGATCGCCCACCGCTAATGGTGGAAGGGGATATTTGGGCCATGTCGGCCACATCATGAAACATATGAACCACACATACTGACAAGTGGCTTGAAATGCCGTCAGCAATTTCCCAATATTTATTTAATATATATATATATATTTGTATTTGAAATTCCGCACGGCATTACGCTTTTTTTTGGGGCATAAAGAGGGCTTATTTGATTAAAAATAAGTGTCCTATAGTGCATTTTCCCTCCGTGGTTTCGTTTTGATTTGCTTCTTTTAGCATCCTATAGGCGTTGATTGCTTCTTGTTGTAAGCCTGGGGGCGGCCGTTGGCTTTGCGCCATCGCTTTCGGCTGTTGTCTACTTCCACCTTGTGGATATTGATCTTGGCATGCCGATGCTGCACTTCCTAAGTTGCCATCTGCTTGCACCCTTGTAGAGTCTTGGGTCGACTAGTCCGTCGTGACCGTAGGAAGCGTTGACGAGATCGTGCCACTTCCACTTGATCCCCCTTCTGGTACTGCCGTTGCAATGTAACACGGCGTTCTAAGGTCAATTGTAATTGAGGAACTTCAGCATCTGGTTGCTGCTCCATCATGATGACCTTCTTCATCAGGTCGTTCCGATGGAATATGCGGTTTCCGACCTGCACCCAATAAATGGGTTCAGATCTCTCTTCCAATCTCGCTCTGAGTTTGTCAGTGCCTGCAGCGCCAACCTCAGCCCCTCTGGAAGTCCCGTCCATCGCTCCATGGGCGGCATGGGAGGAGGGGGTTTCCCAATCCTCCC